AGACCGGCACTGCTCTTGGTATTTTGATTTAGTCCTCATGTCAAATAAAGAAGCTCGTTAGTCAGTAGAATTATGAGAGTTTTTTAGTAATTAAACCTTTCTGTTGTAGTTTTTTATTAGATTATGACTCGCGTTAAACGCGGGGAACACATAAAAAAGATAAAGTAACATAAAGAAACTTCGTGTTATTGATTATTATAATGTCTAAAGAATAAAACGAAATGTCTGATTATCTATAATTATTGAAGGATCTCTTTATAGACAACATTTTTTGTTTTATTGGTTGGACGACCTTCCTCGTCACATATGAGTAAATCTGGAAAAAAAATGAACAAAAATACGCAAGTAAAAAAAATACATATCTTGCAATAATATTTCTTTGGTGGCGTGTACATCATGCAATGATAGTTGTACAATCGTTATTGGATTGAGATCGGGACTTTTGTGAAGAGAAAAAGATTTACAATATTTCTCACTCAAAAGGTGGGGTAACTTGCTCTCTATCTCTCATATGCGGAAAATACGTGAATACTTCTTTATTCCTATCATAATGAAAATGAAAACAGAAGTGGAAAACAGTAAAAACGGAAAATGGCAAAAACATGTAAAACTGGAAAATGGTAAATACATGTGAAACTGCACAATCTCAAAGTAGGATGCTATTTAACAGATTTTCCAACTTTAAAATTTGTCAAAAATAGTAACCTACTTTGAAAAATCTTGAAATAAAGTGTTTTTTTGGTCTTTTTTTCAAAAAACAAATAGAAAAGTTGCAAATTGGTCATTTTTGTAGATAAAAGAAATGTGTCATTTTGAGTATTTTTTTTTTACAGAAAAGTAGCAATTGCCGATTAGGACATTTTTTTGGAATTTTATATCTCTTATGGAATTTTTTCTGGCCATGGGTTTTGACAACCGTTTTGGTCATTTTACTCAAAAACATAGAATTGGTCGATTTTGTTAGAAAACTGAAGCAAAAAAAATATGTTGTAATTTTTGTTTATATTGACTCTTAAAAAAAAGAATACTTACAAATCTTCCAAGGATTGCAACTGAAAATTTGTCAGTATATAAAAAAATTGTATTTTTTGTCCTTATTACATGTTCCAACACCGTTTTAATGCTAAACACAACATAGATTTGCAAGTATTTAGTCTTTTTTTCAACAAAACACATACACATGAAAGTATAATGTTATAATCAACCACTAAATGAAAGTATGTTTCTATAACGACAAGAATGTACTTTAATATATTTTTCTGATTACAGGATCCTATTTTCATTCATGGACCAAAATCATTATGAAATAACAAAATAAGGGAATAGATTGCAAACTGAAACCTACTTTAGGTACCAAAATTGGAAGAAAAAAATTAAAATTTTGGTCCTTGTGCATACTGCCTTTTTCCTACATCTTTTTTTTTTAAAATGAGGGATGTCATACTGTGTAATATGCATCCAATCATGGCATTTTATTTTCACTTATTTTCTTACTATGACATTCTACTTTGAAAATTATAACCAACAACCACAATGAAAAATTGTTTAGTATCCCTATCTAAAAAAATTAATTGATGTAGACCATGTTTAAGTAACTACGTGGTTGTAACACGTAAGAGGGACCAAAAATTAAAATAACAATGTGTATTTTTTTTTTCTTTTCTGATTACAGGATATCCTATTTTTCTATATGGGACCAAAAATGTCATAATAATTCATGGATAAAGTTGAATGATCATCAAACTCCTGATACATATAAGTTGTTATTTGAACAACCTAAACTAATAAACATGTTATTTGTTTTGAACAAAATGAAAAAATCTTCTAAAATTCAAGGATATAAAACTTTGTTTTAAAATTAATATCTATAAAATATAGTGTTTAAGGCTTCCTTTGTCACATGAGACGTGATTGGATTATAAAAATAAGAAGATTTACAAACAAAAAAATTGAGAGGGAGCAAGTTTTTTGTTACTGCTGTTAGGCGAGACAAATAACTAATGCACTAAGTATTAGAGAAGGAGAATGGCATTTTAGTAATTTAACTATATCGATGAGCTAGTTAGAATTTGTTATTAGAGTTTGTTGGCTTCTCTGATACTCTTAATAGTTTAACTTATAATATTGTTTTTGAAAAATCATTAGATGAAAGTGATGTAAATTAATAGAGAGAGATATGACAGTGAGAGATTTACGTTCATATAACGTTAACAGTGAGAGATTTTCATGTCGACATTTGTATTCCTTGATTCAAGTTTTCTTGGTTTCTACAAAGAATCACTTCTTTTATAATGTTAATAGTTAACATTTAGATTTACGTTCATAATATGATTTTCTGAAAATAAAATCACAATTTAACCTAATGAATCAATTCAACTGTGATAACAATAATGAAGAAAAAGACAAAACAAAACAAAGCAAAAAGAAAAAGAAGTTCAAAAAACATATTGAAACACGATTCCATATAGTTGATTCATACCATAAAAACAAAAATAATACGGTGGAGAAGATAATGAAACATGTTATGGATGATGGATGATGTAGCAACAGCAGGACGTCGACACAGAGGTTGAAGATTTTTTTTTTTGTGTATGATACGTGATATTATGGAGGGTTAATAAGGATAGATTGGTAAACCGTGTGATTTTATAAGATGCATAAAATAAGGAAACAAATAAAATGCAAGAATGGAGGATGATTTTTATGCATTAATCCTATCTTTATTAAATTGCAGGTATTTAATAGTTGACCAACGGTTTGTTTTCATATGTTGACTTACCTTGAATATAATAGGTGAAATGATATTCGATTGCTTTAATTGACAAATATATGCTAACAAAATACTTTTAAATTAACTAAGATATAAGAGATAAAAACAGATTCTTGTTACATAAGGGCGGATGATACTTCTACTTTGTTCTTTTATCTATCCCCTTCATAAAATTGTATTTTTCCTTTTTTGCCCTTTAGAAACTACGCTCATAAATTATTTTGATCCCTTGACTTTATTTCTATGCGTTATTTAGATTTTCTATCCGTTTTTTATTTTGATTTTTACACTTTTTAATTTGGAAACCCATGTCCTTGATTTTGGTTTCCCTTATTGGTTTTACCTTTTTTTTGTTTTACTTTTTTTTATTTTATTTATATATTATTAAAGTAAAGTATATAAAAAAATTGAAAAAAAAATTAAATAAAAAAATCATGCAAATATGATACGCAGACCGAATGGATATAGTATTATTGGAATCGGTTAAACATCATTTAATAAATTTCATGACATGCGCTAATAAAAAAATTAATTTTTTTTATTAATGGTGTAATCTAAGTTGGTATCATAGTCCCCAAACAAAATAGTGGTTACGGACCGCAATTTGAAATAACAGTTCTCAACGATGTAATAATGACGATAAAAAAGTATTCATCATACGCAGGTAAAATGTTGCTCAACAAAAATATTAAAATCAATGTGTATCGTACAATTGTCCAAACTAATGCATCATGAGAACCGCTAATTCAAATCGCAATCTGTGACCGCAATGTTATTTGTGACCGTTATATTTGCTTAGATTACACCAATAATAAAAAAATTAATTTTTTTATTAGCTTATGGTTTGATACTTAATAAATCAAACAAAAATATTTAACCGATTATGATAATAACACAACACATACGTATTATTATCAAAATCAATTAAATATATTTGTTTGATTTATTAAATATTTCATGATGCATTAGTTTAAACATATGGTGACATACAAACCCATTTTGACCAAAATGCCCCTGATTCAATAGCCAATAACAATGATAAAAAGATAACCCAATCTTGATCTCCATGCATAAGTAGTGTTTCTGTCAAAAGAATCCTAGAAACACCAATAAAACCTAGGAATAGGGAACCCACAAAAATCTTCCAAAAATACCCTCTAAACCAAGAGGTAGAATTGTCACTGATAAAAAAATATATATCATTCCCCTTTACGAAATCCAAGCCGACAAACCCAAATTTTTTTGTACATGGTCTAATAAAAATCACAGACATAGTATTCTGTTAATAAAAGAGACTGAAATACCCTTATTCATTACAAATTGACTTGATGCTGTGAATAAAAAATTGACAAGCACATCGAATTCCGTTTATAAAAAAGACTAAAATACCCCTATTCACAGACCTAGTATTCCTCAATTTTCCTTTGCTTTTCCTGTTATTAGAATCCGCAGGCTTGTAAAATCTTTTGTATTTATTAGAATCCCCAGGCTTGTAAATTATTTAAATAATATCTTGAAAGGGCACTCATCCCATCTTTGATTAATCCGGATAAAGTCTGTTTCTCATATCTTAAAAAAAATCATGAATGAGAATGGAAACATAAGAAAGTTTAATATTATTATCATTATTATTATTTCATGACAATGTCCCTTTTAGAGCATTGGTCCCAGAATACTCGAGGCTGATTTCATCACCTTGATCCACCCACACTATTCCAAAAGTTTGAACATAATTTATCCATACATCACTTTATCCAGACATTAACTTAATGGAAAAAAAGGGCCTTAGAAGTCCTGAAAATCTCAAGATCTTCATCAGCTGTGAAACTACAAATGCTTTCTGATTGTGTTAGGGCACACATCCGCTGCAATTGTTGATCCAAAGATATCCTTGCAAGATAACTCTGCAACAATAAATAAATAAACGCTAATTTTACATTTTTACCCTTTTAGGGCTTGAAGAATGACAAGGGCATTCACGTCTTTTGGTAATACCTGGGTAACGTTTGTGTGGTCAAGGCAGTCAATGTAGTTGGATCAATGCAGTTGGATCGGATGATTCCCTTCTACTTTGCTACCAACTCTCCTTGTGTGGTTTGGAGGAAGAATCTACTGAGATGGAATAGTGAATATTATAAATGGTTTTATGGAAGAAAAAAAACCATTATAGCTCCATTTTTAAGGAAACTATTTCAGGTGACAAAATTGTAAATAGTGTAGTTAAGTTTTGCTAATATCCCTGCTTTTCAAAGTCATCGGCTATTTCATCATACACAAGTTTCAAATTCTCAAAATTTCGGTTGCCACATCGTTGATGGAAATCAATGAGACATATCTGAATCAATAATAAGCTCACATTAAAATTGCAATCAAATGATATAACTTATTAAATCCTAAGACATAATTAAAGATTAAAGAATCATCTAACATCAGGAAGCTTTTCGATTTCTGTGGCAAATGCCAGGTTTAAAAGGCTCTCATTTCCATGCTACATGAAACACAATAACATAAAAAGATCACTATAATTGTAGAGAAATATTACAACATATGATACATATTTAAACAGGTTTGGTCAAATAGTAAAATATATAAACATCATTTATCAGTTAGTGCTTTGGGCCAAGGTGTTACCTGGTCAGTTAAGTCAACAACAATAATATCTCCATATCTTTGCATAAGATCATGAAAGTGGCGTTTCACCACCATGGGATGCATCCAGTTAAACACAAGGTTAAAATTACCTATGTAAATAAAACATCACACACTTTAAGGAAATAATATATAATATAATATTCTCATTAAAGTAGAAATCATGAATTCAGGAGTAAAGTAAATGGTGTTATTATGATAGAATCCATACTGTATCTTGATGCTCAATAACAGCAAGACGCAGTTTATAACTTAAATCAATAATTTGTTCCCACAATAGAGGAATTGAACCTCGGACCTGAAATCAAAAATTAATTTCATTAATAGGATAATAATCATAATATAAGTTATAACATCCTCAGTGTCTATTAAGAAATATAATTTCAATATATCTAGTAAAATGAATGTTTAGAAGCTGCTGAAAGATCATGTGTTCAGAAGATTAACACAAGTCAACAACCATTATTTGGGAATTTGAAATTTATCTACTGAAATGTTGTGTTGTAGTAATTACCTGTAAAAATGATGACTTGAATCCATCATACTCCAGCAATTGTTCAGTTTCAATAAAATTTGCAATTAAAACAGAAGATCATATATGAGAATATACCTGCTTCCAAACTGGAAGTAAGCCTCATCTTTTTTCTATATAATGATGGTTTTATGAAAGAATTAAGGTGTGGGACTTAATGGAACAACTTGCAGAATAAATGAACTTACTTGCTGATTATTAAGATTACTTAAACCTTCATTACAGCATAAGAACTTCCTAGACATGACTCTGAAGATAGGATAACCAAGGTAAGTTCCAACCTCCTTGCGAGAAGTTATGACCAATACATATGTCCCTACACAAAGACAACAAAAGGTTCAGTACATTCATCAAATCTTTGGGCTTACTATAAGTTGAACAACTGTCCATTATGGAAAACCAACTATAAGTATCATTGTTATGGATGCTAAATGATATTTTATCCAAAAGGTTCAATGGCTCTCTACCTGTATCTAATATATATGTACAAACCCTAATATAATAGTAATTATCACCTGCAAGCAATCTAATTGTTCCAGCAACTCCAAATATTGTATACATCCTGGAAGCAGTTTCCAAATTAACTTCACCTGTGACAGGTTAAGAAATTTCCATGTTAGCACATCTTATAAATTTGGATTATGCGTATATTTACATCTTCAATGAATTTGTTGTTTCGATTTACCATGAAACTTTTCAAATTATTTAGGTAAGTAACAAATTTATGTTTCTGAAACTTCAACATATTGAATTACTGATTTAATTTTAAACTCTAGTTTACAGAAACAACGCCCGAAGTGAAAGGATCAGGATCTAAAATCACCAGATTTTTTAGAATTGTAAATTTATCAGATGGATGCAAAAGACAAGAATAATAAGAGATTCATTACATAGAAGTATTGATAACTCAACACTCTCGAAATGGCCAACATCATCCAAAATTTCCTAGAACAAAGAAAGAAGAGATCTGTAAAAGGGGCAAATCGGATGAGGAATTCTAACAATGAAATTGATATTGAAAAGGATCTGTCAAAAGAAAAAAAAAGGAAAAACAAAACGATGAAGAACAGAAATCTATTACACAAATGCACCATTGGAAGATAATTTTGAATTTGGGAGTAAAATCAAGACGAACTAACCGTATTCTTGGAGGCGTTTGAAGAGGCGAGGTAGATACGAATTAGGGATATGTTTTCTGGCATGATGAAGTAAAAAGGAATGATTTTTATGTTTCTTTAGGTTACAATTGAGAAAGAGAGGGTAGGTGAAGAAGGAAAGAAGAGATAATCATATAACGGTGTTTGAATAACCGGGATGATGTCAGCAAAACAATCTAAGGGGTGAAAAATTAAAGACTCGAATGTAATGAATGGTCCTGATTTCTTAAGATTAGAATTTAAGGTTCTCTTTTAATAATATTTAGAGATTAGGCGGAATAAAACAGAAAATTGCTCCACGTTTGAATCTCTCTTTTACGCTTTGTTTGATTGATTTTTTTCCTAACAGGGGATGGTGGTGGTCGTCTGGTTGTGTAGGGATGAAGAATTTAATTTAGGGTGTATGTTTCCTAGAGAAAGATTACATATTACGGCAGCTAATTTACGGTATGTATTTGATATTTTTGGAATCCCATATTATACCCTTATCTATTTAAAAGTTAGATATTCGTCTCATAAGTTAGATATTTGTCTCATTGGTTTCATTAAAAAAAAATCTATATTTTGAATTTTTTTTTTCTTTTTAAACCTAAAACTTTTTTTCTTTTCGGAAAAAAGCTTAAGTTTTACTTGTTACTTGTAATTCAGACCCTAACATGTCACCAACAGGTAAATTGAGTATTTTTGTTTCACAAAATACCATACATTTTGTCTTTTTCCGGTTTAGACCTAAATGTTTATTTTTTCAAAATCAACTCAACTTTGAAATCGGTTATATGTCGCACCCCGTTGTTATTCTTTGTTCCGCTTCCGTACGACTCACAGGGCTCATTCAACTTTCCGGTGGAGTTTAAGTCGGGAAGCAACAATGGCAGCCATGGACGTGTAGTTAGGAGTGTAAATCACCCAGTTTTATCGGTTTTCGATTAAATCGGTTTTTTAATATCTTTAGACTAACCATAACCAAACCAAATAATGTTCAAGTTCATCGGTTTTGATTTATTCAGTTACGGTTTATACGGTTCGGTTTACCGGTTAAACCAAATAAAAATCCACATGAAAAATTAAATATTAAACTAAATTTTTTAACTCGACATAAATAATATTGACCTGTGTAAAAGTGAATTCCAGTGCAAGCGTGATATGAAAGTGGAGTTCAATCTTCAAAAGTGAAATCTCTTATTAAATTAAAGTAATTATGAACCTTCGTCATGAAATTTATTATTTCTCTTTTCTATAACTTATTATGGGACTTTGATATGTATTTCTCTTTTCCATTATATCATGGATTGTTTCTTTATTTTAACTGATTTTCATTAGGTTACTTATTTACCTTTATCCAAGCTAGCAATTTAAGCTACATATATAATAAGATACACTGTGATACTTATTGTGAATACATAACATATAATAACATACAAATTGCACGCTCAACTTTTCATAATTTCTATATGTTATGTTATATATACCAACTACTAAACAACAAAGATCATTCTTATGTTTAATTTAAATCAAACGGAAATAAAATATATAAATATATATTAGATAAATAGTTTTTTCGGTTTTTTTGGTTTAAGACTTTTACATGGGTATTATTGTATTATTAGTCTTTTACGAAAAGAACAGAAAGGTTAAATCATTCCCTTTTCTAATAAAGACTACACCACTAATAAAAGAAACATCACTTATTAGTTGAGATATGCTTTTTCCAGGTTGACTAATATATAATGGAATTTTACTATATCTAGTCATAACCTTTTAAACAAAATATTATGTATATTACTGTACAAAATCTTTTCATAAACCCCACCACATATCTAACTCAAAACAATTTACAGACGCATACACTTAACATTATTGCAAACACATGATAGTGGACAAACTATATAATATGCCTTATAATAATATGCACATTAATAACAAACAAGTATCATTACCCCACCCTGGTACATCCGATGATACTCGAGATCTAGAGATCTCCATGTCATGGACATGGTGGGTTCCATATTTATTTTTAGGGTTTCAATAATCATCAATATTATTTAACAAGACCATACCATAGGTATAACTGAGCTGGATAGTGCAAGTAAAAAATAATAATGGCAACAATCCAAATAACTTTCATCATATTTGACATGACTTTAATTTGAAACACTTGTGTTTGGAATATCGACTATATATACAGTTTTGGCAACCCACAAAAAGAGAAGCATATAAAGTAAAGTAGGAGTAAGACAGGACATTGTATGACAAGATTGCACAATATGTCCAAAACCATTACCTAGGACTATTTTGTCGCCACATCATAACTACCCTCTTGTCGGTCAGCAAAATGACAGCATTACAATTGTCGCGTAACTGTTATTTTCGTAGTGGCAAGTAATTTAATAGGACGACGACACAAAAATGTAACATCTCAAACACTAACTTACAACGTTATAATAATACTTGGTGTGTGTGTGTGTGTGTGTTGCCCCTGTTAAAATAGATTGTTTTCCTTGTATTTTATTTCCTCTATATGATCTAAGGCCTACACTACTCTACACAAATCTTATCTCCCAAAAAGAAGCCTAGATTCGAATATGAATCCCATAGATGAAGAAAAGAACTGGCTGACTCTTAACGTGGGACAAAAGCTTCAAGATTCTTGTTCAAGATCAAAACCAATTTCAGGGAAGAAATGCCATTTCTGCAAGAGGAAGTTCTACAGCCCACAAGCACTTGGGGGTCACCAAAATGCTCACAGAAGGGAGAGAGATGCAGCAAGAAGATACCACTCCTTTAACATTGACACCAAGTTCCCAATTCATCGAACACTTGGTGTGCATAGCTTCCAAATAAACCAATCACAAATGAAGGGGGGCAAATAATGGTATCAGTGGGTGAGTATGGAGCTACATGGGCGAATGGTGAACTGGGAGTGGGTTTAATGTGGCCTGGAAGTTTTTATTTGGATTCACAAATGGCGGCTTCTCAGCCTTCGGATCAACTCTCACTTGATTTAACCCTCAAGTTGTGATTTTGGTAATCTACTTTATGTATGTATAAACTTTGTTGATTAGGTTTATTTAAATTGTGTATGTGCCTCTTGTGATGATTTTGTTGTGAGTGTGTGTATGGGTTCTTTAAGTTTGTATATAGGTAATGATGAATTTCAATGAAAAAGGGAGTGGATATATATCATAATATACATCCACAGATTTATGATAATCACTTATGATTATCACACAGCAATTGATTTTATAAAAGTTGAGATTACTGAAAATAAATAAAGTAAAGCTCACAGTTACAAGGTATCAGGGATTTTAAGCTTTTGGGTGTTGTGAAAGACAATGGGAAGCCTTTGACTGATGATGTTTGGATCGTTGTATGAGGCAGAATCAGAAGGATATCCATTCTGCACATTTTATTGATTATCTTAAAGCTAAATTCAATAAAAAAATCATAAGCTTAAACATCGCCACGCTTTTGCTAAAGGGAATCTTATTTGAGGTAGTGGAGTGGGAGTGAACGAGATATTATCATTTATGTCTCTGATTTGAACTCAAATTTGTATATTCTGATCTTCTAGTTCTATCAGTTTGTATATATGAGGTTTTATCATTTACGTCTCCGACTCTCTGTTTTATGAATTTTTTTCTTCCAGCTTAACAGAGTTATTGCATCTACTAAGGTTTATAATGTTTGTTTCCAAGGATAGCGATTATAAAACTGGGTTTTGATTACGAATCTAAATTTATTTTGTATTAAGTTTAGATTTGATTTTTGGGATTTTGGTTGAAATTGTTTGATTTAGGGTTCTTCAGAGGGGAGATGAACAAGACAAAGGGAAAAATGGTCATTTTGACAATTTTAACAGCTAGGCTGTTAAATTTGACTACCCAAGGACAGGGGCCAAAATTTTCAATTTACTTAAACATTTAACAGGTGACTTTGCATTTATTTAGAAATAAGCAAATGTGTGATGCTTTGCTTTCTTTCCATTTTAAATTATTAAGATTCTCTAAAAATTACTTGATTATTTGTATTAGATAATTAACCGACACATTAATTAAACCAAACTACCTAGATGGAAAAATCAGGTATTCTAGCGGTGAATTTATATGCAAACAAATATTTATGTATAATAATTTTTATATTTGTTCAAATGGATGGCTGAGTTACACATAAGCAATAACATGATGTAACGTAATTAGCATACTTTAAAAAAACTAATCCTGATGTTTTCAAAATTCAAACATTAATTTTTATACTTATTTCATTTAATTAAAAATCACAATTCTACAAAATTAATATGAGAGGTAGGGTTGGTAGGAGAGAACGGTGTTATTTGGAAATGAATGTAGGGAATGGCTTTTTCATAACAAATAAAGGGTATATTTGGGAGAATTTTATAAAAAAATCCATAAGCTCATTGAAACGCTAGTCTAAGTAGCTTTTTAAAAAAAACCTATAAGCTACTTTTAAGCTTGCAAAACATTACAACCTAAATAAGCTAGTTGTGGTGTGCTAAACACAGCCTAACTATTAGAAAAGGATCAAAGAGAGTTCTCCTTTTACTCCCTTAGATGGGTATATAGCAACTTAAATAATCAATTAATCATGATCATAAAATATGCAATCAATCATGACATTAAAAAGAATATATACTCAATTGTTAAATAAAAAATCTTTGGACATAATGAAAAGGGGGAACCTAGTATTGCCAGGTAGGCTAGTAATGACAATAGGGTACATTCGCACGTCTAGTTTTTTTTCAAAAACAATAACAAAACTAATCAAAGCACTAATTGTAGTTAAAAGTTATACATGAACACAAACTTATAATTCCAATGCATTTCCATGTGTATTTATCTCACATGGTACTAGAGTTCTAGTTTTTTTATCTGGTCCTCAACTTTTATATATTGTCCTGCTTCTCTTGTACACAATGTTTTTAATTGCTTCATGTGATTATGGCATTATATTCCAATATGTTAGTGACTAAATAACTAAAAATTAAGAAGATAACCTTCTGAATTTCCAGTGTGCAGCTGCAGGTACTTCAACTGGGGGTAGGGCTTCCTTCTTCCAGCCAAGTAAAGCATCAAAAGCATTGAAGTGGATTTGTGTGCCACTGCTCACGTGCTTAAGAACCAAACAACTGTCCCCAAACATCATCTCTGGCAAGTGGGTTGTCTCAAGCTTTTCTTCCCACCTGCAAAAGGTTTTGGAAAACAGTATCCATAACTTATCAGGAATGAAAATATAGTTTCATAATATAGAGTGTTCTTCATAACTTGCAAGTGGCTACACACAAATTATTTTATTGCAAATCTACCAATTCAGAATTACAATTCATGTGTCAACTTAATATCTATAACTTGTGTCAGTCGCCCTACTTAAATTTAAAAAGATATGTAGATGCAAATCTAGGTTTTCATTTATTTCCTTTTACGGGCAACATGGCTGATCGCATAGAAGTGAAGTGACTATGATTCTGATAAACAACTTGCTGAAATAAATGTAAAATGGTGATTATTTGAGAGTTTGGTTGTAAATGTGAATCGCATTCATGAAAACCTGAAGTAACAGTATTCAAACTAAAAGGAGATGCAGCTTATAGACGAACTATCAAACTATTCAGTGCTAATCTACCGATTAAATTCAAATAAACAAACTTAAGAGTTTTGCGTATGAGAATAAGTTAGACTTACCACGCGATACAAACAAAGAGGGGAAAAGGAAGTAAGAACAGTGAGCCATTTATGCTTTGTGAACGCGGAGAGACGGAGCTGATCAGCCGATGTCGCCGGCGCTACAGTGGTAGTAGAGACTACGGTTCGTCGGAATTGGACAGTTGGAGCGTAGGTATTGTACTACGACAACCCATGTGTTTCCGGTAAAAGGAAAGAAAATTTTAGTTTTGTTTCGGAAACGTAAATAAAACTTTTTCTTTGTATATTACAATCATTAAGTTTTTTTTTAAGTGTTTAAGATACATCATTGTTAATTTGTTTTTAAGAATAAGAATAAGGGGTTTATATGATGATAGTATTGTAACAAAAAAAAATGACGACCTTGTTCTGCAAAATTGTTGGTTTTGTGATGCAGGTGTTGAATGGAAAAGTGGGTTTGGGAAGATCATGATAAGAAATAGACACTTCGATCCCCAAAGTGTCATAAATGTGGTGGTTTTGGTCGCATAATGTAAACATAGTTGGTAAGGGACAAACTACGAAAAAAATTTAAATCATAGGGGTCATTCTCCTTTAATTTAGATAACTGGTTAACGGAGGAATGGTTAAAAACTAACGATAATTACTTAATTGACATGTACAGTAAAAGTTAGATGACATATTGCGCAAAAAAAACATAATTGATCAAATCGGACAAAACGCATAAGTTCATTGTGCTACAGTGACATTTTCCCTTTTGGATTTTGTCCTTATGTTAAAATGACCCTTATACCTCCTTAATTTATTTAAAAATATAGCTAACATAATGAAACTATTCTAAAAACTTCAAGAAATTTATATAAAAAAATATATATAATTTAGTGGTTTTGGAAAATAAACTATAATTTAATCAACAAGTTAAACCATTGACAGTTTTTCACAAACCTAAATCTATCTTTGTATGTGCTGGATGGATCCACATCCACCGTCAGCCTTACAAAAAAGTTGTTGAAAGAAACGCTTTTGTAAGAACAATGGTATATTCACAACAAGAAAACTAATCCCTCACACAAGTTGAGACTTTTATATGGGTACTATTAGTCTTTTATGAGAGAACAAAAAGGTTAAATCATTCCCTTTTTTAATAAAGACTACACCACTAATAAAAGAAACATCGCGAATGGGTTGAGATATGCTTTTTCCAAGTTGACTAATATATATAATGGAATTTTACTATATCTAGTCATAACCTTTTAAACAAAATATTCTGTATATCACTGTAAAAGATCTTTTCATAAAACCCACCACATATCTATCTCAAAACAACTTATAGACGCATACATTTACCATTATTGTAAACACATGATAGTGCACAAACTATATAATATGCCCATTAATAACAAACAAGTATCATTACCCCACCCTGGTACATCCGATGATACGCGAGATCTAGAGATCCCCATGTCATGGACATGGTGGGTTCCATGTTTATTTTTAGAGTTTCAATAATCATCAATATTATTTAACAAGACCATACCATAGGTATAACTGAGCTGGATAGTGCAAGTAAAAAATAATAATGGCAACAATCCAAATAACTTTCATCATATTTGACATGACTTTAATTTGAAACACTTGTGTTTGGAATATCGACTATATATACAGTTTTGGCAACCCACAAAAAGAGAAGCATATAAAGTAAAGTAGGAGTAGGACAGGACATTGTATGACAAGACTGCACAATATGTCCAAAACTATTAACTAGGACAATTTTGTCCGTCACATCTTTCCTACCCTCGTACAACAAACCAAATATATATATATATATATATATATATATATATATATTGTTGTTTTTTTTAATATTTTACTGCTTAATGTTAGACACAGGGTAAAAAGTCTCATTTTCGTTCTATAATAACCACTTTATATAAACAAACATCATTATCCGTTCAGCCACTTTACCAATACATTAGTGTGTGTGTGTCTGTCGGCAAGATGACATGATTACAATAATCATGTAACGGTTATACTCGTAGTGGCAAGCACCTTAATAGGATGATGACACGAAAATGTCACATCTTAAACCTAAACTTACAACGTTATAATAATACTCGGTGTGTGTTTGTGTGTGTGAGAGAGAGAGAGAGAGGGTTTGTGTTGCCCCTATTAAAATAGTTTGTTTCTCATGCATATTTACTCCATGACCTAAGGCCTACACTACTCTACACAAATCTTATCTCCCAAAAAGAAGCCTAGATTCGAATATGAATCCCATAGATGAAGAAAAGAACTGGCTGACTCTTAACGTGGGACAAAAGCTTCAAGATTCTTGTTCAAGATCAAAACCAATTTCAGGGAAGAAATGCCATTTCTGCAAGAGGAAGTTCTACAGCCCACAAGCACTTGGGGGTCACCAAAATGCTCACAGAAGGGAGAGAGATGCAGCAAGAAGATACCACTCCTTTAACATTGACACCAAGTTCCCAATTCATCGAACACTTGGTGTGCATAGCTTCCAAATAAACCAATCACAAATGAAGGGGGGCAAATAATGGTATCAGTGGGTGAGTATGGAGCTACATGGGCGAATGGTGAACTGGGAGTGGGTTTAATGTGGCCTGGAAGTTTTTATTTGGATTCACAAATGGCGGCTTCTCAACAGTCGGATCAACTTTCACTTGATTTAACCCTCAAGTTGTGATTTTGGTAATCTACTTTATGTATGTATAAACTTTGTTGATTAGGTTTATTTAAATTGTGTATGTGCTTCTTGTGATGATTTTGTTGTGAGTGTGTGTATGGGTTCTTTAAGTTTGTATATAGGTAATGATTAATTTAAATGAAAAATGTAGTGGATATATCATAATATACATCCACAGATTTATGATAATCACTTAGTTGTCCAGAAAGCATATATATATATATATATATATATATATATATATATATATATATATATTATGATTATCACACAGCAATTGATTTTATAAAAAGTTGAGATTACTGAAAATAAATAAAGTAAAGCTCGCAGTTACAAGGTATCAGGGATTTTAAGCTTTTGGGTGTTGTGGAAGACAATAGGAAGCCTTTGACTGATGATGTTTGGATCGTTGTATGAGGAAGAATCAGAAGGATATCTTTTCTGCACAGTTTATTGATTATCTTAAAACTAAATTCAATAAAAAATCATAAACTTAAACTTTGCCACGCTTTTGCTAAATGGAATCTTATTTGAGGTAGTGGAGTGGGAGTGAACCAGATTTTATCATTTATGCCTCTGATTTGAACTCAAATTTGTATATTCCGATCTTCTATTTCTATCAGTTTGTAAATGAGGTTTTATCATTTTTGTCTCTGACTCTCTGTTTTATGAATTTTTTTTCTTCCAGCTTAAGAGAGTTATTGCATCTACTAAGGGTTTTGATTATGAATCTAAATTTATTTTGTATTAAGTTTAGATTTGATTTTTGGGATTTTGGTTGAAATTGTTTGATTTAGGGTTCTTCGGAAGGGAGGTGAAAAAGACAAAGGGAAAAATGGTCATTTTGACAATTTTAACAGCTAGGCTGTTAAATTTGACTATCCAAGGACAGGGGCCAAAATTTTCAATTTACTTAAACATTTACAAGGTGATTGATATATTATAATGCTGACTTTGCATTTATTTAGAAATCAGCAAATATGTGATGCTTTCTTTGCATTTTAAATTATTAAGATTCTGTTAAAAAAAAAAACATTGAGCATTGAAGCCAAGTTTGAGAGAGTGAAAAGGGGCTTACAGAAGCAAGGGCCTTAAATGTAGTTTCCCTCCAGCAAATCTCTCGAATGATGAGTGGCTTTGAATTCTCATTAAAAGTGCAAAAGACACGAGTATCCCTCAATCTCATTAGGGCACCATCAACTCTAAGCTGTAACAACAGACACACATACATGAATATAACAAAATAAAAAAATAAAAAAAAGATAAACGTCCCAAAGATGTAGTTCATACAATACTTCAGTTAAATTATTTCAGTAAATAACATTAGCTTAATCAAATATATATATATATATATATATATATATATATATATATTGTTAGTGACCTACTTCAATTTACTACAGAAAATGTCAGGGATGAATAGTTAAATGCTAGTTGTTGATATTTTATTTTCACTTAATTGTTTGTATTAGACGATTAACCAACACATTAATAAAACCAAACTAGTTAGACAAAAAATCACAAAGAAAGTCAGGTATTCTAGCGATGAATTTATATGCAAACAAGTATTTATGTATAATACAGAAGCAATAACGTGATATAACGAAATTAGTAAACATTTAAAAAACTAATCCTCTTGTTTTTCATAATTAATATGAAAAGTAGGGTTGATAGGAGAGAACGGTGGAATTGGGAAATGAACGTAGGGAATGGGATTTTCATAATTAATAAAGGGTATATTTGGGAGAATTTTAAAAAAGCTTATAATTCCAATGTATTTTCATGTAAATTTATCCCGAATGCTCACACATGGTACTAGAGTTCTCGTTTTTTTATCTGTTCCTCAACTTTTATATATTGTCCTGCTTCTCTTGTACAAAATGTTTTCAATTGCTTCATGTGATTATGGCATTATTCCAGTATGTTACTGACTAAATAACTACAAATTAAGAAGAAGAGTGAAGATAGAGTGTATAACCTTCTGAATTTCCACTGTGCAGCTGCAGGGACTTCAACTGGTGGTAGGGCTTCCTTCTTCCAGCCAAGTTAATATCTATAACTTGTGTCACCCTGTTTAAAATTAAATAGATATGTAGAATGTAGATGCAAATCTAGGTTTTCATTTATTTCCTTTTTCCATTTTTTGGGGGAAGGAGGGAGAGGGGAGGTGGCTGGTATTGGGGATTACATCTCCTTCTTAGTCAAAATCATAGCATGCTAATTATCAAGAATCTCTTCTGTTAAACATGACAGCCAGATGACCCATGAATCCAAATTATTGGATAAGTACCCTAGTTTTGTATACCAAACTAGGTTTATATTTCCATTTGTCCAAATCTCCGGAAAATAGCTAGTCAATCAAGGTTCATAACATTTCGATTTGTCCAAACTCAATCATAATTCAGAAAACAGCTCCTTGCGACCTCATGTAATATCAAAACAACAGCAGTACTCGATCACTCTCCCAATTCCTAAGAATTCCAAGCTTTACTAAACAGATTATACCAAGAGCCTCTGGAACATCGCCGAAGAAATTACATATTATAACGACAACTTAATACGCAGAATTCAACTCTTATCCAATGTGCTTTAAACAAAAAATCGATTGTTTAACAACTTTAACACCAATCCGATGTAAATACCTAAGTCAATTGGCTTATTGGACAATAATTGAAGTAGAGGTGAGGATTGAACGGTTGCTAGACTCGATCTCCCAGCCATGAATGCGGAGTCCTCTACGTCCGTCTGGTAGAAGCTCAGCTCCGGCGGCTTTTACCTCTTTCTCGTCTGCTTCCCACTCCATCTTTGTATGTGAGTCGGAGTCGTAGGTGGTGTTTGCTGAAAAATTGAGATTTGCACTCAACCCACGTCCCACGCCAACTATAGCAGCTAGGTTTGAATTCAGATTTTGCTATTTTAGTTAATGTAAGGGTAAATAGGATAAAAGTCATTAAATTGATATCAAAATTTTAATATTACATTGTATTTTTTTTTCTTAATTTTGTTTTTTCAATTTGTTACAATTATGAATTGTCATGATTTGACATGTTTACGTGTCAAAATTAAATTTAACTTTTGACACTAAGTTTTAATAATTCTTTTTAAGTTTTGACACTTTATTTTTTTATTCTAAATCAAACATCATTTATTTCAATTTTGTTTAATATTGACTATTTTTCATTTAAAACCGTATCAATAATTTTTCTTATATGAAACCATATAAACACATTTTCTTTATTTAAAAACCATATTTTTATATAAATACAAGATTTTTTTTACATTCAAACCATAATGTTATGTATAAATATATATTAGTTATATTATATAACCTTATTTTACATTAAATACACAACTTTAAAATGAGTTTAAAGGTGTGGAGTGCACAGTCAGATATGCTAATTTGATCTCAGGAACACGGAAGTCCGAAGGAGGTCACTTTAATTACCAAGGGATCTAACATAATGAAACTATTCTAAAACTTCAAGAAATTTATATAGAAAGTATAATCTAGTGTTTTTGGAAAATAAACTACAATTTAATTGACAAATTAAAGTTAAATCATTCATTCTTATCAGCATAAAAAATAAGCTCAATTGGGCCTTTAACCGGTAATAATCATGTCTTAGGCCCAATCACCAAATCCTTAACCATGCGTATACAAGGTGTTTGAGTTTGAATTGAATGCGTAAAAGTTAAAACAATCATATTTTGAATATAAATGAAAGTAAACATATAAGGCAATACAATAACAATTACACAATATAAAAATAAAGGTTTATAGATTTTCATATTCATTTTTATTGAAAAAATATTAAAGTTAGAATGAAAGCTACAACCTTATATTCAATATGAATTCATTTTAATAAGAAAAAAAAAGGAAGATGAGACAAATCAACGAATAAAAACTCTCTGATTTGATACAACATTTGCTTGATCAAAGCAAAAAGAAGCTAACATAATAAAATAAAATAAAAATAAAAATAAAAAAAAACTCAAAAGTATCCATTAAATCAACAAAATTTTATCTTGGATCTTGACATATGTACCAAGAATTAAAACCAAAACTCTTCTTATAAGCAAATTCTCCCCGATATTTAACAGATAATTTCAGCTTCAAACCATTTAGGCTGCAAACTAAAGATGAATTTTGTATCCATCAAGAAATTAAGCCTCCCAAACACTTGTGATTCTAATTCCATTTATTGTTTTATTCTTCCAAGTAAGAATCTGGAATTTCTAAAGGGCATGCCAATGCTGCAACACACTTGAACTGTTTCCACAAAAACAAAAAATAATACATCATATCAAATATCTTATGCAATACATCAAATATTATACAATATATAAAGATTTAATTACCTTATGTTGTGTATATTTTTCTCTTATTGCTCGAGAAGATGATGCTCTTCTACCCAACTGTAAGTCATGAATTGCAAGCACAGAATCCTTTAATTCAGATGGTTTATATCCAGAATAACATTGCATTTTCAATCCCTGAAACAAAAAAAAAAATAAAAAATAAAAAATAAAAAAAAATAAAATCTTAAACTTTTCAAAAACAAAAACAGATTAACTATCCCAATAATTCATAATTTCATAGTCTACAACGAATTGTTGTAAATGAAGATCTTTCTCACCCATGGATGCTTTTCTGGTTCAAGTGTAAATCTTGCAACAAAAATGGCTGAAGCTGCCACCATTGATGGCAAGAATCTTAAACAACTGTAATCTAACAAGCTTAGCTCCACAAGAAACCAACTCAAAAACTCAAATGAAGAAGATGATGGCTGCATTTCTCCTTGGGCAGCTCTAATGAGAATTCTGCCAACCCAAATATGTGAAAGTTAATATAAAAACAGTTATAATCATAGAAGCATTACTGATTACAGATACATACCTAAGAAAAGTTTTTGGTATTGGATTGCTAAGATCCGAATTCAAAAACTGGAGCAAGGTTTCTTCCATTTGAAAGACCTACAAGTTTCAAAAAGAAAATACTTACAGCCTTTGTTGTTGTAGATACTAGATAATATGAAGAAAGGGAAGAAAATGAGACCAAATAGCTAAAAGAAGTAACCTCTTCTTTAGTATAAGTATTGTCGGTTATATAACAATAATCTTCAGCTTGTGGAGGACTAATCTCTTCAAACTTTCTAATAAGAGAGAAAATAAACAAAATCAATTATGGGGAAAGTGATGATTAAATAGGGAATTTAAAAGGGGTTCGTGAGCATACGAGGTTACAAGCATGCAAGATACACCAAGAAGCTGGAGTTTGTTTCTGCTTAAAGAATGTGAAGATAGGAATCTGTCGATGTAGGAGACTGTTAGGAACAAGGTATCGGATGCAAGTTTATACTCCTCTGTTACCTCAACCAACCAATCCACTAACACCTCTCGCATTCCTATTGTGATATCCGATTGAACTTTTTCCATATAATCAACCAATGGCCTTCTCTTTTCCTCGACCTAAACCACGAAATTAAGAACATGTAGATAAAGAGTCGTATATATTGCATAAATTTGAATCCATAATAAAAACCCCAAAATTAACAAACGAAAATTTGGGGAAAGTACCTCTAATGAGTGAAGATGCTGATATATAAGAGATGCTAACGAAAACTTCTTGGTGTTAACCGATCCGGAAGAGACAGAAACCTCAGTATTCAAGCACTGAACTGATCTCGGGTTGTGTTTGTTATCCGAGCTATGGATGGAAATGGAAGTTAGGTTTTCTGAATTGGTTAGGTCACCCAAAACCACTCGTCTCTTTGTAGATGGAAGTGGTTTGACAGGGTGGTGATTGGCACCGGTGACGATGGGGAAGGGTCGCTTCCGGGAATCATGGTGGATGACGTTAATGGAGTTTTGTTTGGTGTCGTCCATTGTATTGTAGGGTTTGGGGAACTGGGAAGGGGAGGCTGGATGCCGCTGCCGCCCGCCATATGTATAGAGTTCAAAAATGGTGGATTGCCGCGCGGTGTGTGAACTTTTAATATTTGGTTTACCCGGTTTGACAGTTTTCTTTTTGACTTGCTATAAATATTCGTTTGTTCTTTAAATTTTAAAATTTTGATTTCATATATATGTGTATTGCGTTTTTAGTTTTTTTCTATTTCTTAAACCACAAAGGATGGTATATTAAATTTAGGATAATAATCATAATATTGGGGTGAGCAAAAAAACGCACCGCAACAAAAATTAACCGTATAAACTGCAACCACAATAAAAACCGATGGTAAGGTTTTCTGTTTTTCAAAAACCACAAATTAGCGGTGCGGTGCGGTTATTAGTTTTCAAAAACCGTAAAAAAACCACATTGCACCGCATATATTATATACAATTTTTTATTAATTATTAATATATTAAATATTAAAAATAAGACAAGTTTTATGAATGAAAAAATAATAAATTTCTAAAAGACAAAAGTGGTGGTTTTTCTTATGTTTAACTTTGGAAAATGGAGAAATTTGACAATTTAAAGATATTTATTGTTAATTACTAGTGATTTAACGTTTTTAACATATTAGTTGTTTGTAATTTAAGTTAATTGTCTTATACCATATGGTTTTTTATTATTACAAGTAATATATTTAAACTCTTAAAACAGTTTGAATTCTAAACTGCGGTTAAAAATCACACAAAATAACCACACCAAATTCATGCGGTTAATAACCGATAAAAAAAACGCACCACAAAAATAACTGCATCAAGCGGTTTTGAAAATAGATTAACCACATTTGCAGTTAGTGGTGAGGTTTTGACCAATAACCGCACCGAACCGCATCGCGCTCACCCCTAGTAAATAACATAAAAGACATTAAGTTTATAATTAGAATTCTAATTTGACATTTATGTTTTTTTATCTCAAATTTGACTTTGTTTTTTTAATTTGTTATAATTCTGACCACTTGATTGGTCAACTCAGTTTCATACTAACGTGACATGATGACGTGTCAACTTTAATGACGTGACATGCTAATATGATATGGTGACGTTTCAAAATTGAATTTTTTCCCACAAAAAACACTAAGCTTTTCCTTTTTTCGACTTTAACACTAAATTTAATTTTTTTTTCAATTTTGACACTATTTTTTTGTTCCAAATCGAAAATCATTTTTTCAATTTTGTTCAATGTTGACCATTTTTCATTTGAAACCGTAAAAAAAAATTATTACATTTTAAACCGTATGAATACATTTTTTACATTTACAAAACCACATTTTATATAAATACAAGGTTTTGTGTTTCCATTCAAAGCATAATGTTATGTAAAAATATGTATTAGTTGTATCATGAGAACCAAACTAACCATAAGCCTCAAATAAGAATAACAAAGTTTTATCAATTATCGCTTATAAAATATTATTTATTTTATTTTTTGTTATAGACTTTACACATATTTTATTTACAATTAAATAATTCTATTATGTATATATTGATGTCGCATTTAACGTCCGTTTGAAGTATTGAAGAAGAGGTAGGAAATATAGAACAAAATACCAAAATTTTATGGAATACTAAAATAGATGTAATAATGTTGATATTATCCTAATAATATTATGAATATGATACGATAAGTAAAATTTCCACGAGTTGCAAACCTGCCTCTAGGCCTTGATTGACTACACGTTTCTAAACCTCCAAACTCACTGTAAACTTATGTATTTAATATAAAATACAGGTTTTATACATAACAATATGGTTTGAATGAAAAAAAAAAATTGTAGTTGTTAAAAAAACATGGTTTTTAAATGAAAAAAATGTATTTATATGATTTAAAATGTATTAAAAATATTTATATGGTTTCAAATGGAAAATGATCAACACTGAACAAAATTGGAAAAAATGATGGTCAATTTGTAACAAAAAAATAGTGCTATAAAAAAAAAAGCCTTAATGTCAAAATTGAAAAGATCGAAAACTTAGTGTCTTTTGTGGGAAAAAAAAATCAATTTTGACACGTTGCATGTCATGTCGGCAAGTAACCGGGTTGAATGGTTAAGTTGTCAGAATTGTAACTAGGGATGTGCATTTGGACCGAGTACCTGAACCGGACCGACCCAAAGTAGGACTGAATAAGTTATTTGGGTCGATTCTCAGGTATCTATTTTAGCCTAGTTTGGTTTTTGGGTTATTCGGTCCGAATTACCCAAATAAAGGTTTAATCGGTCCAAAAGGACCGACCCAGATTCCATATTCTGTTCAAATATTTTTTTTTTCTCAACATGTTTGTAGATTTTTATGCAAACTTTGAACTGTCATAACTTCTTCATTATTCGTCTGATTTGCCTAATATTTTTTTAGCATGTAGTTCACAATTTAACATACTATTTACACTATTTTTATGTTATTTTTGGTTATATATCAAATGAGATACAGTCCCCTAAACAGGGGTATTAAAGTTGTGTTTTTTTTAACTAACACTTGCTTTACTGTAATATATCGTATATATGTTCGAGATGATGTGTCCCCTGTAGAAGAAGATTTCAAAATTTGTAGAGTTATGGTTTGATTCCTCGAGAAAATCAGGCCATTTCGTTTTATTTAGGTTATTCGGATCATTTCGGTTCAAAAGCATAGTGTACATGTTATTTCGGTCCTTACCTAAACTGAACCGGTCTCGTATTCGTATAATCAGTCAGGGTTTCGGTTCCAACTTTTCATCAAATTCGGGTTTCGGGTTATTCTGGTCTGGTTCGGCACGGTTCCCGCACATCCCTAATTGTAACAAATTGAAAAACACAATGTCAAACTTGAGACAAAAAAAATGTCAATTTAGAATTTGTGTATAAACTTAGTGTCTTTTGTGTTATTTTCCCTTAAATTTAATGAGAAATAATAACAAACAAGAGAAAAAAATATCTTACGATTTCACCCAACAAATTCCTATACCATCAAATATTTGTATAATGGTTTCATTAATAATACATTCTAAAATAATTTTTTAATATATGATAATAAACTATCACTCAAAAACTGGTCAATCATTTTGTTATGTATATCAGTTACCTACTTCACAATTAACAATTGACTGATTAATGAACTAAAAATCACAATCACAACTATCATTCTATCAGTGAACTAAAGAATCACAATTGACACAATTAGTTTTAATATATCAAACACAATCATCGTATCAATGAATTAAAGAATCATAACAATCACAACATTAATTCTTAAATTTTGATTTTAAAGTTAAGAATCAACACAATTACACAATCCTGGATGTCTGGATTTTGCCTTTGGAGCTGTGGAGTGGAGGACCACCAGGCCGGAGGTCAATCAATCGATGTTAGCGATTGTAGCACCTGGTTCCTAGTACGTATTTTATTTAAGTAATTTGCATTTTTGGCCTGGGACTCGGCGAGTTGAAGGACCAACTCATCGAGTAGAAACGGATTTGATTCGGGATTTAAATGACGGACTCGTCGAGTCGGCTGTAGACTCGACGAGTAGGCTCTGACTGGACAAAACCCTAATCTAAGGGTTTGCACCCTATTTAAACATCTCATTCAGCCACCCTTCGTCCCTATTGCTTCCAGAAAACCCCCATAGCAAACCCTAGCCGTTTGTATAAGAGCTAAGGCTTTTGTGGTGCTTTTTGGTGATTTTGAATTCAAAGGAGAAGGAAAAGCCTAGAGGAATCAAGAGGAGACCAAGGGAGTTCAAGCTTGTGCACCATTTGCAGTTCACAGAAGGTATAAAGTCGATACCTTGCTTGTTCTTTTGCTAGATCCCTTTTTGGGAAAATTTAGGGCTTTTATAAGCCATTCTTGGTAACCAACCATGATTGCAAGCATGGTTGGGGGTAGAGGCTTCAGATCTAGGTCCATGGAGGAATTACAAGGCAGAAAGGGGCTGCTTTTGCACCCATGGAAGCCCCCATGCAACTCAATAATCCCTTTTTAAGCCTTTTAGGCTCAAAGTCCCATGCATGCACGTAAAGTTCGTAACTTTACGTGCTAGATCGAGTTTAGGGACCCAGATCTACCATTTGGACAAGAGTTGTACGCCAGAAATCGAAGAAATAAGACTTGGACTGTATCGACTCGGCGAGTCCGAGGGTAGACTCCCCTTTCCTGTTATGGGTCAAGGAGACCCAGTGGAGTGCTGGAAAGGTGTTAGAGGGTCCGGAGGAGTAACCTAACGTTTTGGGATAAGCCATAGTCCTGGAGTACATAGGACTCGGCGAGTGCATGAACAGACTCGGCGAGTCCCAAGGCAATCTCCCAACTCTTGAGGATGAACTCGACGAGTTGTTCATACAACTCGGCGAGTCGAGGACAGGACTTGTTCATAGGATGGAGATGGACTCGACGAGTTGTTCATACAACTCGGCGAGTCGGATGAAGGTTCATTCGAGGTTCGTATGGAAGGAGAACTCGTCGAGTCATTCCTAAACTCGACGAGTAGAGTCGTAGATGAGGTCAGTTAAAAGGATAAGGACTCGACGAGTTAGCGGCCCAACTCGGTGAGTCAGGTCAACTGGAAGTTGACTTTGGCCTTGACTTGGACTTGGTCAGGGGTAAAACAGTCATTTTACCCTAAAAGTAGATATCAGATTCTGACTAAGTGTTTTGTGGGGATTATAGTCGGAGGATTTCTGGAGCAGCCGCAGACAAAGATTTCCCACGCAGGTTATCAGCAGCTACTCGTACAAGGTGAGTTACCTTCCAGTAGCAGTGGGTCTACGACCACAATGTCGGCCCACCAGTAGGAGTTGTATGATAGATGATCGTCTTTGTGATATTCATCTAGGTTTGCTACTACCTGTTATGTTATGTGCTAGTATGATATGATGTTAGCAGTAGGGGAGATAGTCCCCAAGATTTCCGGACGATAGGGTCGAAGGGGGTAGTCATACCCAAGTGAATGGTATTCCGGTACAGGTGTTGTTTGATTCAGGTGCCACTCGATCATTTGTTTCTCTTGCGCTCAGCAAGA